GAAATTATTTGTAAAGACCTAGAAGATAACAGATGATTAAACAGTCAAGATGGATTTGCTGAGAACAAATTGAGTCAAGCAAATCTCATTTCCTCTTATGACAGTCCTGTAGACCAAGGCAAAACAATACATGTCATTCATCTTGATGGTAGTGAAGCATTGGCATGGTCTCTCATAACATTCTCACAAGACAGATAAGGAAACCAAGTCCAGATGAAACTAATAGAATGGGCCAAGGGGTGGGTTCCCTGTTAAATAGAAGGCTGCAGAGAACAGGAGAGCCACAAGCCCCTACCCTCACTCCTATACTATTTAATAATAGCCTAAATGACCATGTAGAGACCACCCATACATTCCCAGACTGTATCTGCCTCAGAGAAGCTGTAACCATTACAAACTTTAAACATATCTTGGCAGGGGGAGGGCTACTTATAGATGACCAGCTACACAATTACAAGAGAAGACAGAGCTCATATGAAGGGAGTCAGAAGTTACAGAAAATCACCAGCTGCATGTGACCAGTGTGCCCTGAAAGTCTACAAACACCTGAGAAGTGCTTGCATAATAGATTGCGGGATCTACAAAGGTATCCTCCAAACAGATTAGACAAGCATCTGGCAGAAGACAGACATGTCTTCCAATAGGAGATAGTCTAGCTAGTTTACTATTCATGAGCTTTTAGAAGTGCCTTCCAATGTTGCCAAGCTGTGATTTTAACGAACTTGCTGTCTGTATATACTTGGGTACATACCTCATGGCAAAAACACGTGGTAGGATTGATCTGGCTAAAAGAACTGGTTAAGTCTGAAATTTGTCAGGTCCTTTATGTGTTTCACCATGTACTACACAAATGAATCATACCAGCATAAAAAATGTAGCAGGAACCAGTAGTGCCACTTTTGGTAGCAGTAGTTGTACTGTTTTGCTGCTTGAGGAATAATTACCAAGTCCCTGAACTGAAATATCTGTACTTTAAAGACTTTATTGGTCTCATCAGTTACTTTAACAGTAAAACCAGACCATGTTGAAGTTCTCCAAGATCAATGCCCAACGGTTGCATGCACCCATGCAACCCTAAAGGACATCCGGACCAATTTATACATCAAGAGTGTTTTGGAGAAGTTGCTGGTGCTGCATCTCATTTAATTATGACAAGGAACAGAACAGCTGAATATAAGTTGCTTATATGTAATACAAATATTTTTTGCATCAGGCCTAAATGGGCACCTAAAAAGTGTCATCTTCCATATGAAGGATTATTGTATTTCTAGCATGATCTCTAACACCATCAAGAATGGTTGTCATCACACCAAATTGGGTCAGGCTGGGATGGAGTCAGCTTTCCTCAGAGCAGCCCCCATGGTGCTGTGCTTTGGATTTGTGCCCAGAGCAGTGCAGGGAACACATCAGTGTTTGGGCTGTCACTGAGCCCTGCCTGCAAAGCACTGAAGCTTCTTTCCCTGGGGGTGGGCAAGAGACTGAGAGTGGACACAGCTAGGCCAGCTGACCCAAACCAAGCAGAGGAATATTCCATACCACACACCGTTGTGCTCAGCAATAAAAGCTCAGGGAAAGCAGGAGGAAGCAGGGACATTCACGGTCATGGCGTTTATCTTTCCAAGGAATCTGTGTGGAGTCCTTGCTTTCCAGGAAGTGCCTGGACACCTGCCTGTTGATGGGCAGCAGTGAATGGAGTCCTCTTTGTGCTTTGCTTGTGGGAGCAGCATTTGCTTTCCCGGTTAAATTGTCATTGGCTCAAACCATGAGCCTTCTCGCCTTCCTTGTTTTCTCCTCATCCCATGGGAGAGGGGAGTGAGTGAGAGGCTGGGTGGGGGCTTGGTGGCTGCCACCACACCCAGAGAGGAAACAAGTGACCACCATTTGCTGAATTGCTAGCCTGGGCAAAAAAAGCTCTACACAATGGGGCTCTGATGTTAGTTGGTTAACAACAAGATAAGTATGTAGAAACTATGTAAGAACTAATGTTCAGGTATGGTACATGTAGCCTGCCTGTATAATCAAAATATATACTATAATACCTTCAAAACATAACCCATCTAGAACACTTCATTTATTGGAATTACATGGATGGTTTGAAATATATATTTGATTCAACTGTGAAATTCATTTTGGATGAGGCAAAAAGTGACATCCTACAACATACTTTCTGTTTGCAGTTCATCAGAAAATTCAATTTGTGCCAAACATGTAGTGACTCAACATGAAAAAACAGCACACATGGTTTGAAAAAAATGCTTAAGATTCAAATCCCCACTTAAATGAAAAATGGAATTGAGTCTTAATTTATAGGAGGCCTGCACGGCAACAACACCACTTAATTGAATAGCAGACATTATCAAAACCCACTAAACATGAAGCACAATTCGTCTTTTAACACCATTTAAAAAAAACCCAAACATTTGAAAGCATTTTTAAATAAAATATAATAGCACACACATATGAAATGTCTGTTAAGTGCTCAGTTATGTATCTCATCACCTTATCAATGCTCACATACAGTCATGACAACTACTGACCTAGACACAGGTACATAAATGCACGTTCAGAAACAAGGGTTAGGATTTCCTGCTGTAATCCCAGCCACCACAGAACAGCCCATGGAATTTCTTCCATAAGAACCCACGCTGACCCCTCTGCCATGATTCTTTCACACAGAGACAGCACCAGCCACTGACTAGAATTGCTGAGAAAAGAGTCAACAGATTTGAAAAAAATATATTAAGATAATTTAGCCAGCCACAGACAAAATCATGCTACCAGCCACTTTTCTACAGGCCACTGACCAAACTTCTGCTTCAAGTTCCATCTATATAACAGTCAAGAATATTGACTAAAACTGAGTCTGAGGAATACATAACACACTTCCTAAACAAGGGTGAGGAATAGTTAATATATTTCCTAAACAAATTATTACTCCTGCACACAGCCCACTTAATTACCTTTTTCCAACCACATTTGTAACCTGAATCAGTTCTCAGGTGCACTTTTAAAATTTCACTAACCTCTTCAGCATTGCAATTGCAAGAAACTTCCGAGAAGCTTCAGACAACTCTCCTTTTTGTAAGCTATCCTCTTGCCTTCAAACAGAAGAAAAAGACCTCAAGAATGTACTTTTGAAACAAATAAAATTGCCCAAACAGGCAAAATAAGAAAAATCTCTCTTGAAGAAAGACATACATAAATATAATTTTTACCTTGGAACAGACAACACTGGAGTACTGCTATGACTGAAAACTATGAAGTTCTAAGTACTCACCCCCAAAAGATAATTAATCTTCAAGTCAAGCATTAAAAAACCAAAACAGGTCTGCAGGAACTAAACAAGTATTGCCTCTTTTATAGTCTGACCACTTAACCAAAATTGTATTCAGAGTTAGTACATATTTGTTATTTGTAAGCAATCTAAACCACTCACATACAAAAGAAATTTACACAGCCAGAACCTCCAACCCATGGCACTTTTTCAGCTGTCATGATCCTGATTAAGGCCCTTTACAGTGTTTGTAGTCTCATCATAGACTAAATCCATCCCTAACAATCAGGAATAGTTTGGTGGAGGACAAGGTTCCTCTTGATTGCAACTCTTTGCAAGGCTGCCCGTCAGCCAGAAGGAAACTATAGATAATGAATGCTGCAAGGGGCATTTGATCTTACTGCTGGGAGGCAGAGCAAGCCTACCTACTCCAAGCCTTCCAAAGCAGCTTCTCACTATAAATTCAGGAGCAACCTTCTCATCCTTGACATCTGAGTGCTTAATACAAAGGGAAAAGATCAGCAATTATACCCAAAAAGGAAAGGCAAACTTTATTATAGGGGCTGGTAGTATTTCTCAGCAGCCGTAGCTGTAACTCTAAGAAATGACAGAATTCCACTTAAATATGCTTTTCCTAAACATTTGAATATTCATTTTCAGTCAATTATGATTTTCCTCAAGATCTTACCATGTTGCACATAATTTTTTGTGGCTACATATCCTGAATATCTAAGAACCATGCATAGTTAACGGACAGACTTGCCCATTGCATTTCGCAGTTTTAGACACTTCCCTCCCCTCTTCCACAGTTTCATTTTAACATAATTTTTGACAAAATAATTTTGCAAGTACACTTCAAAGTGAACTAGGTGCTCCAAAAACACTGAAACTAACCAGCTTAGTCTATTTGAACCAAAGTGTTGATTACGTAAGTTCTAATGCCTTTATGTATTCTATGCCACGTTAAATGAACTGCCAAGAAGCACAATGCTCTACAGTGAACAAAAGCATGATGCTTCACCGTAATTTCCTGGACAGGAAATGAAAGGCTATAGATACGCTAAGCTGTGAATCCTTGACTTCCACCGCATAAGACTCTTGTTATTAACTGATGAGAGATACCATACTGACGATATTAAAAACAAAATCTGTACTGATTCAACTCTCCAGTGTTTGTTCACAGCTGGTGAGAGAAGTTTAATCAGGTCTCAAATTATTGTAACAACTTGATTTATCTATTAAAGCCTTTTTATATTACTTGTATTTGATTTAGAGGGCAAAAATAACATTTGTAATAGTAAACTCCACAGAAGAAAAAAAAGCTCCACCATATCCCACACATTAACCGCCTAGAGATGAAAGGCATGTTCCACTCTGTAATAAACAGGTATTCCCACTGCTTTTCACTACTCACTAAATATATAATATCAATGGACTAACTGTTGTTAGCTATACCCTCTATCTCATGTTCTTTTATCAACAACCAGACAACTAGGTTTTTTCTCTAAATATGATTTAATTAAAAACACTAAATCAGCTTTGATTTTTATTTTATATATGTACAATAGTTACCAAATAATGAATACACTTAATCAGTTATGTTAAATTTCACATAACGTCAAAGGACATCAGCATGGCATGGAATAAACTCACATTGCCTTTTACATATACAAAAAATGCATTAATGTTAACTGTGATTACTATTTTGATTTGTGGTTTGGTAGTTTTTTTAAATAACCTGCTTATTAATTCTCCAAATAATCTTGCCATAAAAAAGTGTAATTAGTTAATTGATCAGTTAATATATTAGCAAAGATAAGCATTAGTAAAGTTGGCAAGAAATCTATTGCAAAATTACCTCAAGTGTAGGACTGAATGTATTCACATCAAAGTTACCTTCAGTTAGAAAAGTTTTGAAAAAGAGCCCAAGTTGGAGCTGTGCATTAATTTAGTCAAACCGATTCGTATGAATGAACAGTCAAGTTTATTCAGATATTGAAAATAGGACTATCCTTTTTAGTATTCACAAACATTTGTGTATATAGTGTATGCATGTGTGTAAATATATATATGCATATATAAAGTGAAGATATGTTAATGTAAAAATATACTGCTCATCCACTCCCAATTACACAAAATTCTATATTTGGACATTAAACTGTGTAAGTATAAATGTCCATTTCAAATCTACATTCAACCAGCAACAAATACTTAGAAGTATTTTTGTAAACATTTGAGAAATGGGAAAACCCATTCATTTACAAAACAATCCTCCTTTAACACATCAGCATCTCTTCAGCTTGAAAATTTTGTACAGCAGCTTCAGCTGGCCTATTGTGAATCTGCTCAGATGAAAGAGCTCACACTGTCTTAAATGAATACGTGTGAAAGCTCAGCAAATGCAGAATTTTCAAATTCATTCTTAATCACCATTCATTTCCAGTTCACCAGCAAAAAGAAAATGCACTTGGCTACAAAAATATTAAGGAATGTTATTGAAAAGAAAAGGCTATTTTGGTAGAAGAAACTACAAAAATAGTTGAGTCATGTTGTAAAGCTTTAATGCAAGAGCATTACAGTACAGATTTTCTTTCCAACCTTAAAGCTTAATCAACACCAAATTTAAATATCCATCTCTCAAGTGCTTGAAAGAAACGTGCTCAGTAAAAGTCTTTCTTCAATTTAACCAGCTGTAATTATGCAGGTGTCAGGCTCTACGTCTCAGACATCTGTTCAGTGCTGTCTCTTGTTCCATTGGCAGCAATTACAGGTGTTGAGATACTCTGATATAATGATGTTGGACAACTCAACACAGCTCCACTTTCATCCTCTCCAGTATCTGAATCTGGTGTTACCAAACTGCTTTCTATCCCCAGGATCTCGCTCACTGCTTGAGGCAATTCCTAGAAAGGAGGAGGGGGAAAAAACCATAAATATATTAAAAATCACCGTAATTAAATGAAAAAAAAATTAACAAGGTTCCCCCTGGTCTGTCCCCCACCCTCAGTAAATAACCATTCATCTGAATTCAGCTGTACTGAAAGCATCTCTCTCAGCATTAGTTCCATTAAAGTTACCATTATCTGCATCTGCTTTTCAAAAAGCCAGCAAAGGAGATAGGCTCAGTAATCACTTCCTGATAAATAATATAATCTTCATTACAAAAATAAAAGCCTATATACACTTCATGTTATTGAAATTAGTTTTACTGAGTGAACCATTAGTGTCTGCCTAATAAGTCTGGTATGCTTTCAGTGCAATGCACCTTTCACCTCATTTTTCTCAAGCACACTGGACAAAAATTTTACTAGATTACCTCAGTATAAGTAGTTAAGAAATCACAACCAAAAGGCACAGTCCAGGTTTCCCCCAGTGAACAATATTACTCTATAAAATTAATCACTCTTGCTTACAGGCTCTTAGAATATTGGTGCTGTACAGATACAGTACATCCTTTATCATAACTAGGCATTTAGTTATTTCACAAGCCATACATGCACACTTACAGCCAACTACATACTTTTACTATCTAGAAATGCTCACGGAAGATATATTCAAAATCTTTACCTTGCAATTCATCATCTGCATAGAAATGGCTTCTGCTTTGCAGAGTATATATTCCACATCAATTTTCATAGACAGTTCATTGATATGCTAAAAATATATTCAAAATAAGAGTAAGTGCAATAAACAGTAAATGCACTTTATTGTAAAAGACACTAATACTGTACTGCACTGCTAATAAGTATCGCCTTATAAACTTGCCCCTTAAGCTATGAAATGCTAAACATACTCTATATTTGCTTTGATAAATAGGTACTGAGAGAGGTAGTATGCAACAGATGGGTTTCACCAGTATCCAAAATCTGCAAGAGGAATCCATGGTACTTCTAAACGTGAAAAAACTATCTAGCCCTCCTAGGCACATCTCGCTCACATCTTCAAAGAGATAACAAATAAGATTATAGCAGTAAAAGCAAAAATTAAGATAAAACATACTAAGGCGTAGTTAAGGGAGAGAAACATTTTCCATCTGTTAATTATCACTAAACACAGACATCAAAAAAACCATTTTGAAAGCATGGAGGACAGACATTCAGTTCACATTTAACCCTTCAGAAGACAGTAAGCCTCCCCCTAACATTAAATATGAACATAACTGCACTAACTCAAAAAAGTTAAATAATATTTAAATAATGCATAGGAACTCAGTACCTTTAATATTTCATTAAAGCCATAGTGCTTGTCCATTATTTGCTGTTTTTCAGATTCTAAGATAGCACAACAAAGGAGAAGATGAAAATTCTGGCAAGGCAATTCTGTCCACATGACCTGTTAAAATATGAAAACCACTTTGGAAATGCTTATACTTTTCCTCTGAAAAGCAGTTCCTGGAAAATAAGGAAGGCCTCAAGCCAAGTGGCTTAACTAACAATAAGCAATTTTTGAAAGCAGGCAAGTATTTGTACAGTTATTTGAAATCTTTCTTTTGGCCAATTAGTGAGAACCGCAAGTTTGTATCACCAAATGCTTCTCTGGTTCTCTAAAATGTCTGTGTCTACCAGGTTGTCCTCTATAATGGTATTAAGCTGCCTGAGTTTGCAGTCTTGTGAATGTGTGTGCTCTGCTTCAGCTCATGTGAAATTCTCCTACTCAAATTTACTAATTACAGAGAAGTAATTAAAACTAAAATTATTTGTGCGCCTTAGTGTGTCTGCATTAAGTGTGAATCAGTAGAAGTGTGTCATGCTCAGCAATCCCTCCAAAAGGTTAACGGTTATAAATAAGGTGCTAAAGTTGTTCCCAATCCCACTACTACAAGAGCCTAAGTACATGGTCACACAGGTGTTGGGGATGAGTGGCTGTTACTGTCTGACTGCAGACACATTGGCTTTTGGTCCCATGAAGGCCACAGATAATCATTCTTGAGTTCACTGGGACTGAAACGTGCAGCCTCAGTGTTAATACCCTATTTTAGCATGCTCATGAAAGTCAAATCTTAAGAAAAAAAAAGTATTTTAAGAGAATGTGTGTGGTGGGCAGAAAACTTTAGAACAGTTTTGACAACAAAACAAGGGAGGAAACAATTGTTTGCATAAATTACTCTGACAAACAGATAAAAGTATTTAAGTCAATGGATTTACTCTCAAAAAAGGCAGGCTCATGAAGATTAAGTCTTACTTCACTAGTAAAAATTTTCTTACTTCTTTATTGATAAAACACAGCCTTAAAGCTCAACAAGAGCTTACTTATACTTAAACTTTTATCGCTAGTATATGTAGCCTGTAAACAGAATTGCATAAATCTGAAAGATATCCAAACCAAGTTCACCCAAAATAAAGTGCAATTAATCTTGAATGTTTCAATTAATATTCAATTCATTCAGTCTAGAATTAAGCTTTGTATCTTTTTTCACATATCCAATATTCTGTTAAAGCATACTCTCACTCCCAGAAAAGGTCTGGAATGTAAATAGGCTGATAAACGCTAACAATCATACAAAACCGGCTATAGTCTTCCAAATAAAGTCTGTCTACACAATGTTTTGGGGGTGGGGTTTTTTTGGTTTTTGTTTTTTGTTTTTACTCCTACTTCATAAGAAAGAAATACTAACAGCTGCACATGGATTTGGTTCAACATCAAATTCGCACATAAAGAGAGCAGACTACTGCTTACACATTTCCAGTACACTCAAATTCTCATGGTATGTGTACTATGAATCATCTACAACAATCACTAATGAGGCATCCCAGACAACAGGTTGCCTCTTAGGCATTAAATCTGAACCTGAACATAGATGACTGAAACATGACAACGCAGGATATGGGGGAAACTGAACCAAAATACAGATCTGTATAACAGTTACCTTTTTACAGACATTAACATAATATTTCAAGTTCACATCTACAATTCAATGTTATCCTACTGGAATATCTACTTTAAGTATTTGCTTCAAGGTGTAACTTCAGTGGAAGCTGGATCCGACTTCAAGAGTGGGGAAAAAAAACAAAAATACTAACAAGGATGTTTACAGACATTCTCTCCACTCTGTAGAATATTAGCAGCTGTCAACAGTTGCTAATACAAGCTGCAAAAAATTCCACACATTTTGCTATCATTGTTTATACAAAGTCTGGAACAGGGCATGCACTTAATCTTATGTATGTAAACAGATAACAGCAGCATCACAAAGTTCTTGGAAAAAGATAAAAGAAAAACAGCATTTAAATTAAGAATATAAAAATATACCACTTAAGTGCGGTAACTCTTCCTCCTGTTTCTTTCTGATAAAGCTATGCAAAAGAGTCCTAAGGAAGGACTCATTCTAGCGCTACCTCAGCATCCATGAATATTCATAAGAAATACTAGTATACATGTAAAGTAATTCATCATTAGATCATTCTGGTTTTATACCATGTGAGCTGTACTAGCATAACACTGGAGGTAAGTGTGAGCTAGTTGTGTAGTTTTATTACAGAATTTTTCTTTGGGATTCTTCTTCTTCTACCCAGTCTTCCTTCATCATCTTGAGAATGAAGCAGCTCACTGTGCAAAGGAAAGATTAAGAGCTAGCTGGAATTACCAAGTGATATGTCTGTCCCTCCAGGGTGAAGAAGAGACTGAGCTACTCTCAATTTTGGGACATCTAAGCAGTGGCTCAGTATGCTGTCTATCTGAGTTTGAGAGACAGTTTAACCTGCATTCATATTTCTGTAAAGGGTGTTGCAGAAAGCATTGCAAATTACTGCAATCACACAATGTGTCTTAACTTATCCACACAAGGTGGAATGCCACCTCTAGCACATGCACCGCCTAGGACACTCTGCTACAACGTGTAACAATGATATAGCCATCCACATTTTCTACCACAACCTGATTATTATGGCTCTTGCTCAGTAAGTGGGAGGGCTTGGTTGCAGCCTCTACTATGGCTGATGGAGACTGGTATCTCCCATCTCTAAGGTGAATGTCTAGTAACCAGGCTAGTGAAGAATCATCTTCATTCCTATTTTTGACATAAAACACTAAGTCATGAAGCCAGCAGGAACAGGGAAAAAGTATCCAATGCTAGCTCAGTGGTTCAGGCAACTCAAGAGGACAGAAATGGAGGTCCAAAAGAACACCCTAAAATTCATATATTAGACAGAAAAAGCCCCAGAACGCTGGAACTTGGGACTGGAATCTCAGATGGTACCTCCCCTTCTTCCCATTCTACCCTCTGTAAGTGAATACATCACAGGGTAACATTACCTTCAAATGGACTTCCCTCAATTCATGTGCTATTACAAAACAGCATATGAATTTTGCTCAGACTGAAATGCCCTAAAAGCAGTGCACTTTTCTCTACTGATTACAAAGGAGAAAATGGTCTCCTGTGCCTATAGCTTGCCTCTGTAAATCCGACATATACACTCCACCAATACTAATGAAGCTGCACAGCTGTTAACGGGGGAAAAAAAATCTATTATAAGCTGGACTTCAGCCATGACAGAGGTGACACTAGCTTTCACATAAAAACATCAACATAATGCCTTCATGAGTTTGTTTTAAAAAGGAAGACAAGATATCCCCTGTCTCATGTCGTATCTCCTAGCAATGAAATTGTATACTTGTAGTAAACATAGATTATGATGTGCTAGAAGGAACCTATGAGTCTATCATATATCAATAGGTTTCCATCATCCTCCTAAGACAGAAAAAAAATATTTAGGAGTTCAGAAATACAGTGTGTTTCCTTTCTGTATGCATACGTATACACACATTAAGGCAGAGGTAATAAAAACATGCTGGCCTGGGACTATGAACTATAAATATATATACCATTGTCATCAATTTAAAAAGAAAAATAAGTCTTTAAAAAAATACTGAGAAGACAACATAAAACTCAGAGGGGAAAACAAGATGATGGGTGAATTTTTTTCCCTAAAATCATTATAATTTTTTCCCCGTGGAATAAGAGAATTCTTCTGGTTTTGTACATTTTGGTTCTCTTATTTATGAATTATTCATAAACTTTGTAGTCCTCTTCAGTTGAAATACCACCTCGATACTCTATGATAGTAAATTCCACTAACTGATGATAAAAAGCTAAAAGAGATTTACTTTAGACAGTTTTAAATACCGGTCCTCCTCTTTAAGTGACTCCTTTTTCTTTAGTTGAAAAAGTGAATAAAAGCATCAACATTATCTTTCTTATACCAGAAACAACATTATTTTTCATTATAGTACAAGTTTTATGCATCTCAGTTCTGTTCTTTTCATTACCCTTCTGTTCCCCAGCACAACTCTGTGTGATCATTATGTCCTAGAAAATACTCCTTCCATTCATCTGAATATTTATTCTCTAGTTTGCAAGTTTTCAGTAGATACTGTGCTCTTGTTAAACGCATCTTAAACAATAAACCTGTACTGTTGATACATATCTCATTTTTCTAGGAACAAAGAATTAAAGAATGTTTAATAAAAATGTTAGTTCATCTTAAGTTACTGCATCTGACCCCAAGATCATTTAAATCAAAAAATATTTCATTAACCTGGAATTACCAGAACTTCTACATTTTGATGTCTTACATTACATTATATGGCATCATGAGGCCTTATCATCAAGATTAACTGGATGTTCTGACATCATCCTCTTTATGGTTTTGGCTAACACAAAAACTACCCTGCCAGTGCTGGATTCCACTTCATCTATAAAGTACTACCAATATATCAAAGAACTAATCAGAGACACATACAAATGCTCTTTCTTCTAGCATAAGCTGTTTTCCATGGAAAGTTAACTGATACTCTCCACTTACCACTTTCACTTAAGAGCCTCACCTGAAGGACCCTGTCCAAACCTTTTTGAAAAAGGTTTCTGAAAAATAAATTTACCCACCACCAGCTCTTATAAGTATTTTTTTCATTAACTTCCCAAGTTGTTTTGGCTAAAAAGACATAACATACACCAGTATGTCCTCACCTCATTGCACTGAATCAGCTTCAAAAAAAAAAAACTATTAGAGTATTAATCACTTTGGAGAATGATCCGTTTGCTTTGTTATAATGTTTAAAAACTGCTGGAGTGTGTATGATTAAGTATCTTCTTACCTCCCAGAGTCGAAGAATATCTTGAAAGCTAAATTCCCTTTTAAATCTGATAAGAAGCCATCGGAAGCAAAAATAAAGGTAGCCTGAGTCTTGAGATTCTAGGAATAAGAGCGTTACATTTCATAAACACCAAATTTGGTTAAGACAATGGGGTAGGGGGGAATAACACACTTTACATGTATGCAATCATACAACTGATTAAGATGGTAGCCCCTTTTCAGAATCAAAGATATTTGCCAGAGGATAGCATATTTTTAAAATCAGTAACAAGAGAACCTGTTTTTCAATAGGCATGGAACAATTACTGAAATCTTTTAGGCATTATTAATTTACAAGTCCTGTATTCATATAAAATTACTATTGGAATTATGTTTAAAGACTGGTAAGGATATCAACACACATAGATAAAATGCAGTAAGTTGTTTTAGTTATTGTGTATTAATAATACACCTACCTAAATAACTGCAAAATCCACTGTCTAGTAAACGAAGCAAAGTACTCAGTTGAATTAGTTGTGTCTTCATACCTTGCATCTGTTCTTCAAAATTCTGATGCTGCGTGGAATACAGTATTAGTGTCGCCATTTTTTTACCAACTCAGTGATAATTTTGAGATTTATAGCTGTTCTAATTTTTTTTTTTAAGTTTTGTTATTGCAACAGCAGTTCTCATCCTTTAGGTATTTAACATACAGATATTTAACTGTACTTCTATCTAATGCAATGTCTGCTTTTTACTAAAAAGTTTACCTAAACCAGTGAACTGTTTCTTTGATAACACTTTTGTATGCAACAAATGATATTTTAAATCAGCCTGTGCTTTGTACCTCCAAGCAGCACTACTGCACTCAAACCAAAAAGACTTTTTTTTTAAAATTCTCATACCAGTCACATATTGTTTCACCACATGCACAATTAATAAAAAGCTTCAGTTTATGAAAACTCTAAATTGCATTTAACAAATGCCAAAAGGTAAGTATGACAGGGAACCATTATCCTGAACAAAATCCTGCTAGAGGATTCCATTAACACAAATTTGGCTGTGAAGGCTCTGAGTTACTTTGGAATTTCCAAGGAGCCAAATTTGTCTGCATTACACAGTATCAAAAAGCCACCATAACCTGTGTCAATCAGAAAAAAACACTGACTTCAAACCTAAGATGACTGCTTTAAAAGAATTTTAAAAAAAAATGTATAAAATAAAATTAACCCCAAATGTTATCCCTAGCTTATCTGTTTATGTGGACTAAAAAAGCCTTATTTTACCATTTGATCCATGTATGATACAAAGCACCAAAAGGCATCTACTTCATTCTCCATAACATACAAGACAGGTGAAAGCAAGTCGCTCATCCCCTGGACATAACCTTGATGGAGAAAAACAGGGGAAAAAAAAAGGCAAATACAAATTCAGTTAAACTCAGCAGTTAAATGGTAATTTTTCAAGTGCATTGAAAGACAGTGAAATTAATGTTTGCATTCCAACTTCGTAGAGATACTATAATTTTCCAACTCAACCACCAGTAAAGACATTTTTGTATTAATAACCACCAACATCCAGCATATCTAACAAGATTTAGCAGTGGTTTCTGCCAATCTAAAGAGAACATAAAACAAATGCGTTGTTTTTGTAGTTGTTAAAATATGTACAAACTGAGCTGACACCAGAATAGATCTTTAGTTTTTAAAGTTCCCATTTAGAGCTCAGAAGCATATATTGATATTTTTAAGGAGATTAAATATATACCTTGCACCATCATAAATACACGCTCATATTTATTCTCCTCTCCATTTGTAATTGGTTTCTTTCTTTCATACATTTAAAATCTTCCCACTTCTTTTTCCCCTCCAACTGAAGATTTTATTTTCCAATAGATTTGGAGAAGAGACGTTGAGTTTCAATCACAGGAAAACATATGGTGCACTAGCTTTTATTAAGAAAATTTTGCACTTAACATTTCTTTCTTCTGGCACTGATAATGCTCTAAGGATTCCCGTACTTAGGGAAATAGGAACTGTTCTGCTCAGATGGCATTATAAACCCACCAAAGCCTAAGACCACCTGTGTAATCAAGCAGCCAACAATAAAAAAAAACCTGAGGAAGGGGATTATTAGCAAAGTATTGCTTGTGAGAAGCATGAAACACATCTAGACCCCATTCAAGGAAGTGCCTTTAGCTTTCTGTGCCCAGAAATGGTGAATCAAGTTCATATGCCCTAAAAAGCACTCATATGCCTTATCAGAAAAGCCCATTTTTAGAGCATATCATTTTTACAAATAGCTAGAAAATTTTCATAGTATCATAGAATGGTTTGGGTTGGAAAGGACCTTAAAGATCATCAAGTGCCAACCCCCCTGCCACAGGCAGAGACACCTCCCACTAGACCAGGTTGCTCAAAGCCTCATCCAGCCTGGCCTTGAACACCTCCAGGGATGGGGCATCCACAGCTTCTCTGGGCAACCTGTTCCAGTGTCTCACCACCCTCACAGTGAAAAATTTCTTCCTAATATCTAGTCTAAATCTACCCTTTTTCAGCTTATACCCGTTACCCCTCTCACTACACTCCCTGATAAAGAGTGCCTCCCCATCTCTCCTGTAGGCCCCCTTCAGGTACTGGAAGGCTGCTATTAAGTCTCCTCAGAGCCTTCTTTTCTCCAGGCTGAACAATCCCAACTCTCTCAGCCTGTCCTCATAGGGGAGGTGCTCCAGCCCTCTGATCATCTTTGTGGCCCTCCTCTGGACTCTCTCCAACAGGTCCATGTCCTTCTTGTCCTGAGGACTCCAGACCTGGACACAGTACTCCAGGTGGGGTCTCACAGGAGCAGAGTAGAGAGGGAGAATCACCTCCTTCAACCTGCTGCTAATGCTTCTTTTTATGCAGACCAGGACACGGTTGGCTTTCCGGGCTGCAAGCGCACACTGCCAACTTATGTTCAGATTCTCATCCACCAATACCCCAAGTCCTTCTCCTCAGAGCTGCTCTCCATCCAGTCTCCACCAGCCTGTATTTCTGCTTGGGATTGCCTCGACCCACATGCAGGACCTTGCACTTGGCCTTGTTAAATTCCATGAGGTTTGCATTGGCCCACCTCTCAAGCCTGTCAAGGTCCCTCTCAACGGCATCCCTTCCCTCTAGCGTGTCAACTGCACCACACAGCTTGGTATCATTGGCATTTTAGTTGTATACAAAATATTTTCAAAATTGTATAGCTTTTTAATGCTTCTTCCAGCTTCCTTGTTTGTAATTAACAGACCAAAAGCAGAGGACAAGGATTTTTAGAGCTCATTTTCCCCTTCTTCCTGACTTTTCCAATTGCTCTACCACTGATGCTCAAGTCAGCTTATCTACTGCCCTGCTGCTGCTGACCTCCCTAAGTAAGGGAGAACATGATTTATGTGTATGTCTATCATCAGTGGTTGGTTCAACATGACATGACATTTCTTGGTTAGACTCAAGCTTGGCTGCTTCCTTTTCTTAACGAGGTAATTATAACAGAATAACCTGAAAAGAGGACTGGAGTCAATGACTGAAAATATGGAGGAGATGTGAGAAGAAAAATAGAACAAGGAACAGAAGACAGGTAAATACTTAAAAGAAAAAAATGCTTTATTCCTTACACATTTAATACTAAAGCCAATTAAAAATAAATGCAGAGAAGATTCTGTTCAAGACAGCTTTAAAGTCTCTTAAAGATTAAAGCCAGTTTCATTAATGCAGACTTGAGGAATTCACTCAGAAAAATGTTGTATTCACTGTTCTTCTGTCCCCTCCTTTATCTGGCAGTTTGTGGCCTTACTCAGACCTCTCTACAGCTGCTGTCAAAGGATTAAGGTCAGCATTGTACCAACGCTTGAGCAGGTTAGAAGCCTTGGACAGATACAATGTCAAAGGCACTACATTTACAAATCACATGCTGGGGTGGAAGCAGGAACCAGCTAGAAGTATCTTTTCCCTCCCTCCCAAGACAATTAACAGAAGCCAAGACTTAAATATCTTGTATACACTGTGATTAAAGCATGCTGTTCTA